ACCCCTGCTCTAGGGAAACTGTGTCCTTTGTGTGGGCTTGTGGGGCACGCGGGTTCTAACGTGTGACACTTGAGTAGCCTAGGTGTGTACATGTTGATCCGAAGAAAGGGCTGATCAAATCAAGCGATGTGTATTGCGTGTCTTCGTTTGGGTTGTGAGTGTTACAATTGTTTTTATATTGTGTAAATTCAGTTTTGGGTATTTGCTTGTGTGTGTTTGTAATGTATATATTTCATATCTTCCTTATCACCCCTGCCGCTAACGTTAGAGGAAAGTAGACACAGCTCAGGTCGAGATGAGGGCGCCTCTGGAGCTCTCTGAGCTTGGTTGTTGTCTTGCAGACGTTTCATTACCAAACTAAGTTACATGATCAATGCTAAAGATCATCAAGTTTGNTTCTTCCAGTATTGCGCCACCAACAGTCTTGCTGCCAGTTGTCTGACTCTTTGACGTGCCTCAATTAGCAGACCTTGAAAGCAATGTTCTTCCAGCGTTCACTTCTTATTAGCCTTCAACGACTCCAGGAGGGGCAAAGGGGAAGAGAGTGACAAAGAGCAGCCAAAGGGACATGTCACCTACGATTTTATTGTCCATCCATGTGATGAAGGAATTGGCGTTCCTGTCACAGAGTCTCGTGGGCCATGTGTGGGCCTCCGCTCCTGGGTACAAAGACATCTGCATATTTCTATTTTTTCTTACTCTATCCCAGTGATGGCTAACCTTTTTGTTGTCATGTGCCGAAAGTGCCTGCACCCATAATGCCATGTGTGTGTCAGCCCTCATGCATGGCCTGCCCCTTGCGCATGCATGTGCAATCCCCCATGTGCGTTCCATCCGGTGCATGCACATGCAACCCCCTCCCACGCTCCCCCACACCCTACACATGCCCCCCTCGCCCATTTTTGGCTTCCAGGTTAGTGCAGGGGGGCTAGCCCCACACATGCCCCATTTTGGGCCTAGAAGTCCTCTCATACCAAGCTCAAAGCCAAATCAGGGTGCAGGGATGCTGCGCAAAGCCTCAAAATGCAATGTGTGTGCCCCACCGGTAATGCGCCCTCCCCCCCCCGTATGTGTGGCAGAGACGCAAAGACCATCTGGCCGGTGCGAGGAGCGTGCCCACATGTGCAATGGAGCTGGGCTGGTGCAATGGCTGGTGTGCCCGCAGAGAGAGCTCTGCGTACCACTGGTTTGCCATCACGGCTCTATCCCTCCAACCCCTTCTTGCCTTCTTCTTGCTTTTGACCCAGATCAAGTGTACCCCCTTCCTTGTCCCAAAACAGTGATGGCGAACCTATTGCACACGGGCAACAGGTGGCACATAGGGCCCTCTCTGCGGGCGCGCGAGCTGCCCTTGCAGCTCAGCTCCACCGTGCTGTGCGTGCACCGCCCACCACCCAACTGATTTTTAGGTCTCTGTTGCGCATGCGTGGGGGGGTACATGTGGGAGATGCGTGTGCATGTGCAGGGGGCAGGGGATAATAAATCTCTAATGATTTATTTTGGTTCCACCACAAAACCGCGTTCGACTAAACTGCGCTCGATGAAACCGCGTAGCTGACGTCATCAACTGGGCAACAACAGCACGGAGACAGAAGCATACTGTAAACGCTAAACCTAAAATTAACCCCTAAACCTAAACCTACCTCCCCTAAACCT